CTGTCCCCACTGAGGAAAGGGCTGCCCTGAAACATGGCTCAGAGCTGCAGTGTCACAGCCCCTGCCGCAGTGCTGCCCCCGGCAAGCTGCTCGTCCTGACTCTCCTGATGGGCCAGAGCAGGCCCACGGGTCCCACCTGTGCACCAAGCCCTGGCCTCTCTCCTCTCAGCCAATGTTCTGCACCCTCCTCTGGATCACAGAAAGGCCCCACTCGTGACCCGTGCTGCCCTCCCCACCCATGAGGGCTCTGATGCCAGACCGCAACCCCACCACCCCTCCACCCTGGGCAGAAGTCGGGGCCTCAGTGCTCCAGCAGTAGCCACCTGTGAAAACACCTGCCTCCATAGTCCACCTGCTTCCCAAGCACCCTCCCTGCTGGAAGACCTAGTGCCCAGGTTGCCAGGTCCCCACAGATTCCTAGCCCAACATACTCATCCCCTTTGGTGTCTGGGACCCCATCCTGCTGGCCTGCAGCAGGGCCCCAGGCTGGGCTGGGCTGAGGAGAACTGAGCGGGCTGCCGGGGGCAGGGCTGGCGGCACAGTCAGGCCTTTCAGGACTTCCCAGAGGGAGCACAAGCCCTGGCGTGGATCAGACAGAAGCAACATAAAGAGAAGGGAGCATCGCCCCAAACACCCCTTACTACCAGACTCTCTGGGACATCAGGAAAGAGAATCCTGGCTGCCCTGCCATGGACTGGATGCTTGTACCCTCAAAATCTCTACACTGAGCCAGGCGCCAGTGACTCACACCTGTAACCCTAGCTACTCAGAAGGCTGAGATCTGAGGATCAAAGCCAGAAGTGGTGCTGTGCCTCAAAGTGGTAGAGCATTAGCCTTGAGAGAAAGAGCTCAGGGACAGCGCCCAGGCCCTGAGTTCAACCCTACGAACAACAACAACAACAAAAGCATCTCCATAGTGAAGCCCCTGGCTCCAGCAAGACATTACCGAGGTGGGCCCTTTGGGAGACTATTAGAGGTTAGATAAGGTCCTGTGGATAGGGCCCTCAGGACGGGAACGGAGCCCTCACCAGGAAGCTCTGGAGAATATGGGAGGGTGTGACTCTCTCTCTCTCTCTCTCAGCACCCCCCCCCCCGTCTGCCAGTGAAGACTCAGTGAGAAGATACTCCCCAGTAACCAGGAGCAAGCTCTCGCCAAACCCCCAACCGTTTGCACCCTGATCTCAGACTGCTGGCTGAAGAGCAAGAGGTGAGTGCCTGCTGTTGCACTACACACTCGGTGACACTTTATGGCGGCAGCTCTGGCAGCCTGCTGGCTAAGTAAGGCAGTCTCCATGCCAGACAGCGGGCAGGAGGCAGAGCAGGGCGGTGGCTGGCAGGCACACCTGCTCATTAAGGAGATGCTCGGAGGGAGAGTGCTGGCGGGGGCCGAACGCGTGCCGCCTCCCATCCCCGGCTGAATCCTCTTTAATGAGATGTCACTTTGCAGAAGTGTTTCGGAGCCTTTCAAAATCTTGGTCTAAACCTCGTCAAACTGCACAGAGATTACTTAAGATTTACCGCATGGGCACAAAATAAAATAAAATAAAAAGGCAGCCCAGCAAGCAGCAGCTCTGTGACAGGACCATTTGTAGTGGGGATGGAAAAGCCTCCAGATTCATCTGCTTAAGCACAGCAGCTTCTGTTTATTTCGCACTTTCATGTCAAATGAATTTGGAGAGAGAAAAAAAGTGACAGGCAGTTTAGGGATATAAGTCACATTTCAGCTTCAGTTCAGATTAATGAACTTGCTGGAAGCCAGAAGGGCGCAAGCAAATCCACAAATCTTAGAACAAAAAACAAAAAAAAGAATTCCTGCCTGATAGCAACTCAGTCCTGGGCTCCGCGGGGAGCGTCCTCTGACCTGCTCTGTGCGGGGACCCTCTGGGTCCCTGGGTGGGTTCTGGGCCTGGCTCTCCGTGGAGGAGGCCCCACCCAACGCAGCAGTGTGTGCAGTCCTGGGGGATATGCAGGGTAGCTTGCAGAAAGGGGGACAGAGTTCCTGGGGGTGAGCAGTGCAGACTGTTTGCTCTCCAGGGCACAAGATGGGTGCCACGGAGCAGCCTGACCCATGCCAGCACTTCCACCAGCCAGCTGCCGCCCGCACCACGGAGGCCAGGACTGCCACGGCACTGTGGACACCACCCCCGAAGGCACTGCCCTGTCCCGCCTCCGTCCCTGGCCAACATGACCTCATCTACCAACACCCAAAGACTCCTCTGCTCAGGGGCACCCTAGACAGGCACAAGAAGCAACTACAAAAGAGAACCCAAGGCCAGCAGGGACCACCCGCACCCTCCCTCGGTGTCCAGCCTGCAGATCACTAGTGGCAGGAGAGAAATGCCTGCCCGCGCCCATATGGCCTATGATGCCCATCGGCTGCCCACCAGGCTGAGAGTCCAACCCCCTCAGAGGAACACAGCGCCTGGGACAGGCAGCCACCCTGCCTGCTCCTCCAAGAACAGAGGCAGCACCAACAGCCTGGGCGCCAAGGGCTCCCACCTCCCCAGCGAACAGTGAAGGGCTTCCAGGGCCCTCACCGGGTTGGGAAGGCTCTGCCACACAGGAGAGTACTAACACAAAGGGAGGGACAGGGGGAAGGACAGGGGCAAGGACTTCCGTGAGCAGCACAGAGCGGCTCGGGAGGAGCCAGCTCACCCACACGCACCACCCCTCCTTGTCCCCTCTCCGGTCTCCAAAAGTCCAGCCCTCAGGACACCACCCCCGGCCTGAGTCTCCAGCCAGACTCAACCAGGTGGCCCGCCCCAAGGAGGACAGGGATGTGACAGAGCCAAACAGACGTCAGGTGCGCATGGCTGATGACAGGACATGGCCAGCAGACTCCTCTCCAGGCAGCGCTCCTGGGTCTCTGAGGCCCAGCCACCTGAACCCCAGCCTTCATGCTGTCTGCCCGTGGTCTCTGCACGCACCGCCTTGTCCTCTCTGCCATCTCAGCATGAAGAAATTTTGGCACAAGGACAGGACAGGAAACTGAGGCTCCATAGGAAGAGCAGGCTCGGGGTCCCCCAGCCTTCTAAGGCTTCCACAGCCCATGGTCCAGCGTCTCCCACAGCAGGCCGGCCTGCCAACCTCTGGCTGCAGTGAGGACGGCAGGGTGGCCGGCGCGCAGGCGCCAGCCCAGCCCCTGGCTCCAGAGGCAGGCTCTTTCTGCTGCCTCAACAAGCCAGGCCCAGGCGTGTACAGCTGACAGCAGGCTGGGCAGCTGGCTGGCAGTCACTCTGCTGAGCAGGCAGCCAAACCAAAGCACAGGTGACCTTGGGCAAGGGAGGCCCAGGCCTCCCTCCCTCCTCCACCTACTCCCACCCTAAGGCCAGTGGGCATGGCCCTATGGGGCCCAGGTACCCAGCAAGGATGTGGCCAGGACCAGGCTGAGGTGGTAAGGGAAGAGTAGAAGAGCCATCCCCACCTCCCCTCAAGTGACCACGCCATTCCGGGTCAGCTCTGTGGCTGAATTAGGATGCCTATGGCTACAGGCCTTGAGCTACCTACAGGCTAGGCCTTCCCTACCTCCTGTCCACCCACACTCACCGCAGACCCGCATCAGCACCACCTCTGCAGGTCACAGCTTTAAAGAGTGAGTCAGCTGGCCTGGCCACTCTCCGTCTCCTGGATGCCACAGGAGGCCACCTTGACCTCCTGGCTATTTGGGGGCCGTCCTAGGGGGCCCAGAGAGGCTCAAACCTGGGGCCTCTTTGGTTCTCAGAGACTAGAGGGCAAGGCCAGGTGAGTCCCCAAGGAAAATCACTTCAGACCCCTAACCATGTCCCTGGGAGAGGCGCGCCTCAGGCAAACGGAGAACGCAGGAGCGAGAGGCTCTCGGAGCCGAGAATCAATAAATCTGAACCTCATTCACAATGATCTGGGGCTCTTATTAAGTAAATTAATTTAAGTTAATTTAGCTCGATCATGGCTCCTGATCACAGTGATTTAGTAAGGGGGAAATTGCATTAGGAAAGGCCATGCTCACCAGATAGAGGAACGGAAGAAAATTAGATCCACTTAGCAATGTGAATTAATATGGAAATAGCAGGTGTAAATTTAACCTTATCGAGAGAGTAAAAATTATCTTCATAAATTTGTAGAAATAGCCCCCAAGATGCGTATAAATCTATTTAAAACAAAAATATTACAAAAAGTGCAGTAAAATTAATTTAAAATATACTTCCAGCTAGTGCCTCCAGAAAGTCGGCAGCAGCCATAGGAGAAAGGCCGAGGTCGGAGGCAGACTGAGCCCCGTATGTCCACACAGCCCAAGCACACAGGTTGACCTAAGTCTGGGATATTGTGGGTCGCAGCAGGAAAACGGCCGGGTAGTGCCCGGTGGCAGGCCCCTGGATACGGCACCCAGCTCCGTGGGCCTGCCGAGAGTGGCAGGCCACCTCAGCTCCCCGGGGCCAGGCTCTGCCCCTACCCCTCCCCACGCCTGGACGTGGGGCAAGGGAAGGAGCTGTTCCTTGGACCCGGGGGCGACAGAGCCCACCAGAGGCCCCAGAAGGCAGGAGCAAGCTCCTCCGATACCCACCTGCCCTGCCCCACTGCTCTAGGACATGGCTACAGCAGGTCAGAGCACGAGGCCCGAGGTGGCCTAGGTGGGGCAGAAGCCCACGTCACCACCCGACAACACGCCGGCGGCCTCCAGACCAGGCCTCTCGCCAGCAGCTTCTCTCTGAGAGCAAAACAGCTCATCGTGGGGCCTCGGGGTCTTGGTGATGGCCACTCTGTCACGCACGAGGCCCCAGGAGCAGCAGGCTTACAACAGCACTGGAGAGCGTGCCCTTGTGTGCGTCTTTGTATGCACGTGTTACAGTAGACTGTCTACACAGCATGTACACAAACTGCTCAGCAAACACAAAAACTAGGCTGTCAGCCATCATGCTGTGCACCGCACAGCTCCCTGAAGCAAGCTTGGTGTACACGTCCTTTAGGCCCCAACCTGCAGCCCTTGATACCCAGGCCTGAGAAGCCCAGACGAGGCCTCCTACCTGGACAGTGAGGTACGCCGGGCCCGCCAAGAGGGCAGAGTCAGGGGGAAGGGCGGGATGCTGAGAGGAGAAGCGGAGGCCTTCTTGATGATTCTGTAGCGGGTCTTGATCACCTTGCTGGTGGGTGGGGTCCGCGAGTGCATGCTGGATGCTGCAGAGAAAACCCAAGGCACAGGTGTGGGTCAGTGGGGGCCCCAGGCCCTAAGGCTGTCCTCTGAGTAGAGGCCTTTCCATCCCCACTAGCTCCAGCCGTACCCCACGTGGCACACATGTGCTCCCCCACACTCACACAGAGGGCCTGGCAGCCAGGGCCTTAGGAGCCGGCCTCCAGGCAGGAGCAACCGCATCCTCAGCTGTTCTGTCCGCGCGAGGGTGGGTGCCGAGCGCCTGCCCTGCACAAAGCCCACCCAGCAAGTCAGGCCGCTCCAGGAAGTCCCCAGAGTCCAACCCCAGGGGGGCTTGGAGGCTGAGGGGGGCAGCGCTCAGGTGCTGGTCCTGTGGCTCCACACGCAGGAGGGCCCTGGAGGCTCCCCAACTCTCCAGCACTCCCCTCCGCTGCGCCCAGACAGATTTATGTACTTAATCACTGTTTTCATAACATTCTGTGGGGTGATATCCACACGGCTTTTTCTTGCTGAATGTTTCTTGCAATTAGCAGGGATCTGTTTTGCCCGAGTTCCCTTCCACTTGATAGCCGGCAATTTCTCCATAGCTTCAAGGAACGAGCCTAATTGCCCGGCTTTCATAATGTACAGCTCTAACTGCCCAGATAATTAAAGCTAACACGGCAGCCACTCATGGTCGCTCCCCTCTGGCCCTGGGCACAGGGCCCCAGGCAGAACCTCAGCCCAACCTTCCCAGGTGGCCTGGCTTCCCCCTGGCCCAGGACACCTTCCCTGCCCACAGGTCCCAACTCCCACACGGGACCTGCACAGGTAGGAAGGCTAGAGCCTGGAGCAGACCTGGGCAGCATGGCCCTGGCCACACAGCCAGGAGTGCTGCAGCCCACCAGAGGTCAGCGAAGGCCCTTCCTTTGGGCGTCCTCTCCTGCCTGTCTGAGCCACAGCCTCTTCCAGGGGTGCAGAGTCAAAGCTACCCAACAGCCCCCGAGCCCTCCACAGGGGGTGTGGGTTGCCCTACCCACACGCGAGGGGAAAGAGTGCAGTGCAGCTACCCGTGCCCACCTCGGCCCTGAGTGGCAGGAATGAGGGCACCTCCACAACGTGTGCCACCAAGGGGAAGCCACAGCCACATGTGGATGAGGGTCCTGCCGCAGACAGCTCACGCCAGCCACAGGCCCTCCCGCCTCCCCGCCAGGGCCTCGCCCTCGCCCACGACCGCCCCACCTGCCTCCCTTTCCCCCGTATTTTCAGATAAGCTCTTGTGTTTTTGTACCAGGCTAGCACTATAGCATGTCCCTCTTACCTATGCCTTCCGTGTAAATGAGGCCACAGACACACACCACGCTTGGCTTGTTTGCTGAAATGGGGTCTTGGTTAACTTTTTGCCCGGGCTGGCCTCACCCAGCGATCCTTCTGAGAAGCTGGGGTTACAGACCTGAGCCATCATAACCCACCCATCTCTGTCTCTCATCACTGCTCTGCAGCTGGGAGAGGCAAAAACAAGGCAGGATCTCAGGAAGCAAGTGTGAACCCTTAGCTCTGAGCGCTCCCCGGCTCTGCCAAACTTGAGACACAGAGGGGGCCTGGTGTATAGTAGGCAGGCATCAGTAAGTATTTCCTGATTGAATTTTCAGGGTCTTACAAGCAAGGAAAGATCAACAAAAATCAATAGTACCTTGTTCAAACTAAGAGCTCCAGAATAGAAGATTCGGTAAGTTATCAATAACGTGAGATTCGTTAAGTTATCAACAACCTAAGACTCAGTACGTTATCAATAACCCTGACATGGCCTCACCATCCGGAAGCCACATGCTGGCTTCCTGCTCCAGCCTGTCCCCTCCCCCGCCCCCACCTCACCCCACCCGGCCCACACGTGCCAGGGCTGCCTGTGGAGAGCAAGAGGGCTCCGCTGGCAGCCAGAGTTCCCAGATGTACACAGGCCGCGGGCCCCGCACTCACTGCCCCGCAGCCGCTTGTGAGCTGGCCGCTGGCCTGCCAGGCAGCATGTGGCGGTCACAGGACACAGACCCCAGAGCCATGCACTCTGCCACACAGTTCAGCTCGGCTCAGCCCCATGGCCAGGCAGGCCTGGAGGCTGCCGCAGCAGGGCAGGGCAGGGGCTGGGACTGGGCCACGCAGCCTGGCCCAGGGAGCCCCATACCTGGAGGGGCTTTCTTTACTCCTGTTTCCAGATGCAAAACGTCCCTTTGGCTAACGTTACCGTCACCAGAGCTTGGAGTAAACGCTTTCCCTCCTTTCCTCTTCTCCTGGTCCTGTAGATGTCACCTCTCCAAGAAACGCCCATTCTTGCCCACAGGACTGGACTTTCAGGTGTAGAAAGCGCCTCCCTGGCAGGTCACTCAACAGGCTACACTTGGTGGCAGCCATCAGGATTCGGCCTCTAGCGGCCCTCACTCCTGCCTGCTATGGATCTGGTAGGGACGCATTCCTACGCCCACCACAGGACAATTCCACCACCGCACGTCCTTCCACAACACACGGAGCGACACAGCAGACTTCCTTTTGGCCTGGGGGAGGAGGGCAGGGGCCTTCTGCACACCTTCACCCCCCTCAGCCTCCAGGATCAGCTTCTCATCAGAGAGGGGTACGACAAGGGGCTCACTGCGGGGAGCTCAACCGATGCCACCCCCACGGTGGGGCTGTAGCCCTCGGCCTGGCCCAGACTATTTGCAGTCCCTATCTTCCTCAGCAACGAACCTCAGATGCACCTGACAATGGTCCAGGGGGCACGGGACAAACTAGGACCAACAAGCCAGGACCCAGGGGCTGGCAGCACTGTGCACGGATACAGGGACCCGGAAAGTCAGGTTAGAGAGAGGCCGGGGTCCCGCTCAGCGGGGCTGAGGCCAGCCAGCTCAGTCAGGAATAGCTGGCCTCCTCGGCGGAGGCGTCCACCCTGCTTGCTGGCTGAGGAGTTTTGTGTAGATAATCATGTTATTTAGATAGGATGTTGGTTTAATTCCCTTCATTACAGACTCCCAGGGTTGTAATTTTTTTTCTCCGCATGATGTATCCCCCGTGGCACGCTTCACTCAAATCAAGCCCCTTGCGCTTTTATTGCCAACGCTGCCCGCGCCGCGTTATCAGGCCCACACACGCAGCCCTCTCCGCCCGCCGTCCAGAGGTCACTTCTAATGACTAATCGATCTCATTAGCTTTCCTAATTAAAAACTTTACTACTGCAATGGAAGACAAACTACAAAAAAACTGCTGGCATCATATTTGAATGGGATATGAGCCCCATCTATCAGCAGGGCCTGGGCTCCTGCCGGAGGTTCAGCGCCCTCCGTGTGGGGCCTTGGGCTTTGGCTGGGAGCTGGCCAGGGGCAACCCAAGGGCACCCCAAGAATGTGGCTGCACCCCAAGCATCATCCTAACAATGTGCTGTCAGGCGGCAGGCAGCGCCAGCCATGGGCCCGAGCAGTGCCCGGTGGCAAGCTGGGCAGCCGGGGCACCCCTGCCCTGCCTCCACCTCCGGCCTGGCGGGCCCACCTCCCACCTCACCACAGATGGCAAGCTGTACACTGCGACCATGCTCCCATCCTGTTTTAGTGCAGGCGGGAGTTGAGAGGCAGTTCAGATTTTTATGGAACTTCAAAGAGAAATAACTATGAAGAAAATGAGTTGCTAATTTCACAACTGGCTAATGAATAAGATGAGACTGAAACTACTCCTTGAGCAAAGAACTGCCTGAAGCTACCAATGGGGGCAGGAAAGGCCACAGGCCAGCCCGCAGAACAGCCTGGGCTCCGTCGGGAGCCGACAGAGGACACTGAAGCAGGGCTTCTGGACAGAAGACCCAGGCTGGCACCCGGGGGCTAGGGGAGGAACACCAGGACCCTAGCGAAAGGCAGGCGGGGACAGGAGGTAGCTCAATGACAGAGTATTCACCTCACAAAGGAGATCCTGAGTTCAAACCCCAGTACTAACAACAACCAAATGGGCCAGGCACTAGCGGCTCACACCTGTAACCCTAGCTACTCAGAAGGCTGAGATCTGAGGCTCTTGGTTCAAAGCCAGCCCAGACAGGAATGCCCATGAGACTCTTATCTCCAATTGACTACCAAACAGCCATAAGTAGAACTGTGGCTCAAGTGGTAGAAAGCCAGTCTTAAGCAATAAGATCAGGAACAGGCTGGGCATCAGTGGCTCACGCCTGTAATCCTAGCTACTCAGGAGGCTGAGATCTGAGGATCACAGTTCAAAGCCAGTCCAGGCAGGAACATCCGTGAGACTCTTATCTCCAATAAACCACTCAGAAAACCAGAAATGGCACTGTGGCTCAAGTGGTAGAGAGTTAACTTTGAGCTGAAGAGCTGAGGGACAGTGCCCAGGCCCAGAGTTCAAGCCCCATGACTGACCAAAAAAAAAAAAAAATCAGGAACAGTGCCCAGCCTTGACGTTAAACCCCAGGACATGTACATGTACACACACATACACACACACACACACACACACACATAAAAGGCTGCATGTGGTGGCATAGGCCTGTCCTCCCAAAGAGGTGGGGCAGGCCTCAGTATGGCTGCTAGGACAAAGACAGAAGGAGCTGCCCACTATCCTGCTCTAGCCCAAAAAAACACCCTTCGTGCCAGCTGGAGTGAAGGCCAGAGACAGCACCTGCATACACATGTGCCAGGTCAGCCACACAGAGCAGCCATCCCAGTGGGACAGTGGCCCGTGCCCTGCCTGCCTGGGTCCCAGACATGAAAGAAAGGCCCAGGGGAGCGGGCTGGGCAGGGCCAGGTCCACAGGAAGGCCACCAGGGACGCATTCCTATGCCACCACCAGGACAACTTCCCCACTGCATGTCCTACAGAACACACAAAGTAACACATCTGACCTCCTTCTGGCCTGGGGGAGGGGGGCAGGTTCCTCCTGCACACCTTCTCCCCCCACACCCCCCAGCCTCCAGGAGCAGGCCTCTCGGAGAGGCCACCCAGCTCAACTGATGCCACCCCCTATAAAGGCAGGGGGCAGTGTGGTGCTGACTCCTTGGAGCTACTGC